AAAAAAAAAAAAAAAAAGAGACGAAAAAAAAAGTGGAACTAATGTTAACCATGAAACCCCTCCATTAATCAAGAATGCCAAAGCCCTCCCCAAATCCCCTTCAACCAACTCGTCGAAACCCTCCTCATAATCTTCTTCGCGTCCAACTCGTCTTCCTCCTCCGCGAGCCTCTCGACATTCCTCAAATAACCCGACCTCACCATCTTCTTCCTTGCTCGTCCACTACTTCCCACCAACGACATCAATATCGACAACAAAAGCTTCTTGTCGGAAGTCGTCTGAACCGGGAGATGAACTAGATTTTTGCATTCTAGTCTTGCCGGAAGACTTGCGACTAGGATTAGGGTTTATATCTTTTTCGAAAATTGGTTTTTTTCTGAACGAGTTTTGGTTGATTTTTTTGGTGGATTTTACGGAGCCGGTTACTCGATCTAATATGAGGTGTGTCGTCAGCATCTTTTGTCAGATTTTTTCGATGAGGATGAGGGAGTTTAGTTTTGGCCATTGAAACTTGAATTGGGGAAAGTTTCTAGAGCCATTTGTTTGCAGAGTGGTAGGAGACATGCGGCTTTGGGTGATTTTGGCAGAAGGTTATCAATTTTTTGGTTATTTTTTTGTTCCTTTTTTTAGGTAAGTGTATCTTTAATTCCAATTAAATCTCTCATTAGCATTTAAAAAATTGGTAATGGTTCGTGTAGTATGTTAGGCATAATTGAAAATTTTATTTGTCATTTAGGTAATTTTATAAATAAGAATATAAGGGGTCCAAAAGTGTTATTAAAATAAAATATATTAGTGAGAGGTGTAATTTCCTCATTGTATTTTTCTCGCTTTTTTATTTTATTCATTATGAATTTATGTTGAGTAAGCCCGGCTAGGTCTACTATAGGTGCTCGAGGCTTAAAATAGTGTTTTTACTTTGGTCACTCTAGTTATGTCCACAAACGTATGAAAATCTAAGCCAATATAAAATATGTATTTGTATGACGGAACATTTTGATCCAAGCTCACATGATTGTTAAATTTACTATAACTTTACTTTAAATTTGTACATTTGTGTTTGGCTATTAGGCTCCACTTCTCCCACTAATTTAAAATAAACTTATATATTAATAGACTTGTTATATATGTAACAAAGGTGAACTGGTCGCAAACAAAGTAAAATTAAAATAAAAAATTATTGAACAATTTCCTGTAAACAACGCTTTTGGTTTGATTTGTTGGCGAGACATATCACTACAAACTAATATTTTCAAAACAGTCGGTTAGTGACACTGGAAACATCAACGTATGACTGCCCATGACTGAAATCGACTTCTTAATAAATAAATCAACATGCGATAAAGATTCTGTGGTTCTTTGTTCGCCTATATTTTTAAAGCTCGACCGCAAGTGTACGGCTTCGCTCGTAGTATGTGGCAAGCAAGGTCGTATCCCAAGAGACCAAATAATTAATATATCAAGTACTAGATTATGATAATGTCAACTTTATTTAGACGATCGAATATGATATGAATTAGCAACTAAGAAAATAAATCAAAGGAAAATAAAGCAAAAATAAAGAACTAGCTAGAAAAAACACGTAAGAAAGTATATGGGAATGATAGATTCTAAGACTTTGGTTTCAATTAACAGTTGGGTTCCTTCAAAAGTATCACAACCAATGTTTTCTTTATCTTCCCTATAAGATGATCACAAATTTAGCTTATCGTCCCTCTCGAGATCGATAAAACCGTAGATTAAATCACATATATTAGCGTCTTCACTCAACACATGCAATTCGACTCCAAATAGATTAAAGGATCTAATATCCTCACAACGACCTACTAATCTCTCGATTCAAGCAAGTAAATTGTGTCAAATATTAAAGACCTAATATTGAACTCATCTCTCGAATTATGAACAATATTGTCAAACATGTAAAAGCATTGATCAAGTGTTAAACATGAAACAAGAACAAAATATTTGAATAGGGTTCAAAAGAAAAACAATCAATTATAATAATTCATCCAAAATCCCAACATATTAATCTACTACCAAGTCCTAGAATCAAATAAACTAGCCACTCATGTTCGAATTCAAATACATAGACATATTAGAAATCAACATGATCAATAAAAGTTCAAAAGAGAGAAGAAAGAAAAACTAGGAATCTCGTCAATCTTTCAATCTCCTCAATCCCTTTGTGGTTGATCTTCCTTTGCTTTCCAATTGCTTCTCTTGTGTGTTCTAGGGTCTCTCTAATGTGTAATCACGTTTTTTCTCTCAAAATAGGGTAAATATGCCTTTTATAATGTCCAAGACCGTTCTCCTTTTCTAAATAGGTAAGATATAAAAAACAGCCTGCGCGCACGACACGACCATTCTGCCCGTGTCACGGTCCGTGTCGCAGCCCGTGTCAGCTCCCAGGTTACGAAATCTCTCTGTTGAGGTGACACGGCCTCTGACACGGGCATGGTGCCCGTGTCACAAATCTGCACTCTCCTTTTCGCTCGTTTTACTTGTTTCTTCCATTTTTTTTCATCTTTGCATCAATCTTTCATCATCCCGGGGGTCTTAGGTACTCACCATGCGCCTCCAATAGCCATAAACTCTACAAATATGTGAAAATATCTACAAAACAAGCACGTGTAATACCTTTCTAACAAGATATAGAATTAATGCAATTTATACACCAATAATGCAATGCATAAGCTCTAGATACTACATAAATATGGTGTAAAATCACACATGAACAAACCCCCAAACTTATACCATTGATAGTCCCGATCAATGCATCAAACTCCTACCAACACACACGAAAAGACAATCACAACTCTCAAAGTTAATCATACACATTCTCAATATGCATTGGGAAAATAATATAACTAAGTTCTGGAATTTAACTTAAAGAATGCTTCATCAAAATCATGGTCAATACCTTCAATCCACAAACCTCACCAGATAAGTGTATACTCTCACTCTCAATAGTGTATAGGGAAATAATCGCTCATATCAATTCAATGTTGAAAAATTACCATAAGCTTGCAAATCGTCTACTATCTCTGATACCATACTGTAACGCCCCGTTTTATTTTAAAGAATTTACCGAATTTATTTATAAAAATTAGAGTTTATTATTCGCAAAATCCCAATTAACTTTAACACTCAACGGCCGCTACTTAAACAACTAAAACAAATACACATTTACACAGATAAAATTTAACAGTTCAAAATGAAATTCCAATTATTCATAATCCTCAAACCCAGTCATGCATAATTAAATACTTCAACGGAAAATCCAAGTTCTAACCAACATATCCAAGGTAATTAAAGCGGAAGCATCATTATTCAAAGTTAAACAAATGATCTATCGAGATAATAAAAACGGAAGCAAGTAACACACAATCCAACGACCACCACTCGATCGTCTCTCGCTGCCGCCACCAACCATGCTCAACCTAAAAGGATAGGAAGAGGAACAAGAGGACAGAAAAGTAAATGGGGGTGAGTACAACCATCATACTCACCATTACCGCACAGTATATTTCGCATAAAGATCCATAACCATAAATAATATATGCATAGAATCCAGATCTAACTCCCTGTTAGGCCCTATCGCAAACCTCCTATGTACATACAACAAACCTCCCGACCAGACATCGGTGAGGATGTAACTGGAAGCACTCCCACCCCGGATGCAACGGGCATAGGATCTTACCAGGAGACAGTGAAGTTGAATTACCCCTCCGCTCTACACGGATTCGGGCGTTCAGACAA